ATGAATCAATAAGATGAGAAACCTACAAGATTTGTGGTGTTGACAAATCTTTCTGAACGTTATGCTCCAGGAAAAAAAATCAATACTAGAAAGATGAGAACAATTGCTTGCCTTAAAATCGGAATTGAGAGTGAAAGAAATATAGAATCATTGCTTACCTTCAGACCGGTATCGAGTGAGAAAATAGAAAAGAGAGAAGGATGAGAGTAGTGGTGGTGGTGGTTGCGTTAACTGGCGTTGAAGGTGGTGGTAGCGACTTCGATTAGGCGTCAATTCACGATGGCGTTGAGAAATTTCAATGCCAAGCATCTTCCAATTGATGCTAATTTTTTTAACGAAATAGAAACACAGTGGGATAAATATAAGAAGATAAAGAAATTTAAAAAAAACGTCTATCCTTAAATCACGAAGGTTCAGATTCAAGAATCAAATTGAAGAGATGATGTATACCTTCTTGGGAGCGAGTTGCCTAGTTAGTGAAGCGGTCCAAGCAGATGATTGTTTCTACGTTTCTCCCTAAATCACGATATGATTAGTTTTGATTTAAAATAATAATAATAATAAATGAATCGCCTTTTAACTCCCATAGAAGTCGTAATCTACTGATTGATTCTGTGTGATTTTGAAGGTGGATTTTGACCTACAAAATCTTGATTGAGCGGAGCAGGCAACAAACCAATGGTTGGGGTATAGAGAGATAATCAAGCGGATGATTGTGTATGTATGCAGTGGTGAAAAACGATGGTGGTTGAGGCGGAGTAGCAAACGGCGACGTAGATTGTATACAAAGCAGAAAAAACCATGATGTTGGTGAGCAGATCTAGATGCATATACACACATCAACACCACGAAGAGGAGTTATGGTGGCGGGTTGAGATATGCATTTAGTTCTTAGTGCAAATACTTTCTCCACCCGCATCTCCATTGGCGACGCGGTCGCCGCTCGTTATACCCGGGCCCATGGTCGACTTTCAGTCGGTGTATATTATGTACGACGGGGCTCAATCGGAGGAGAGATTAACATAATTTAGGGAAATTGTACAAAAATCTTGGAAGACCTAAACCCAAAGAAGCAACAGCTCTCATCGATTCCAAATGAAGGCGATGTCTTTAGGAGGTTGTGGCTATGTGGTCGCAGTGAGTAGTTTGATAGCGGCTGTTATCTGTAGAGGGGATTAGGGTAACATTGGATATAAGATAATACCGTGTAATACGTTAACGATGTGATTAAGCTTAATTTTGTTGTACATGAGGTAATAGTTATTGTACCTCTTAATTTTCAAGAAAGAAGCAATATGCTTAATAATATAGTAAAGATACTAGTTATTATTGGACCGAGTGTGTTATTAGGACTTCCATCCTGGGCCTGTTTTGTCTTAAACCCATTTGGGTCTGATCCAGTTGACCCATCATTCGACCTGGTTCCCTTGTTAAATCCAATCGACCCATCATTCCTCTTCCAGTACCCTATTCTTCTCCCCTCTCGTTGATGCCCTGATGATCCACCACCGCCAGACAACGCCGACTTTGTGAGCATCACTCTCATTTAACCCCCTCTATCGACCTCCTCTTCTTTTATCCTTTCTTCATACGCCTTGAGTCATCCCACAACATCTTCAAAGCCAACAAATTTTAGGTCCAAGACATGTTCTAATGATGCTACTATTTGGATGAATTTCGATCGGGGTAGAGTTTTCAAAAACTTCTTTACTAACTTTGTTTCGTCAATTACTTCTCCTAAAGCTGCTGATTTTGAGGCAATCGTTGACAACTTTCTGACATATGCATCAATTGACTCCGACTCCGACATCCTGACTCGATCGAATTCGGTGGTTTGGGTTTCCAGCCTTGCTTCCTTGACCCGTTCAGCCCCAACGTGACGAGCTTTAATCGCATCCCAGAGTGCCTTTTAGGACTCAACGTCTCCAATTTTAATAATTAGAGATTCTGGAATTTCCTGATAAATCAAACCCATTGAAAGGTAATCGTTTTTCCTCATTCTTCTCTGTTCCTGGATCTATTTCTGTCCATGCCTTGTGAATCCGTAACACCACCTTCATTCGTAGTACCCATATGGTGTAATTGGTTGAGTTGAGCATGGACATTATACTGAAGTCGCTCTAGTCACCTTCTCCCTTCCTGGAGCACTGCCTGATGTCCCTTCATCTCCTGCCATGTCGACCAGCTTCTTTAACAAGTAAGTAAATCGATCTCAAAGTCTTCTGTTCTTGGCTCTGATACCATTTCAAGATCAAAAAACAAATAATATGGAAATAATCTCCAATTTTATTGAGAAAATATAACTCTAAAAACTCCATATTGTTTTCTGAATAACATCATACCAATCATTATATATATAATATATATATATATATATATATATATATATATATATATATATATATATATATATATATCAAAGTTGTGGTTTGTAAAGAATTGCATTATTTGCACAAAATAGCAATGCACTTTCATGGATTTGTTTAGTATAGCATCTTACTTTTGTTTCTTCTCACATCAGTGTTGCACTTAAAAAAATCTATGTAATTACAGCAATGACATTCAAATACAAGACAATTTACAATGACATAATTTGGTCTATTTTTTAGAGTATACTAATTACCGTACAAGGAAACGAATTGAAAGTACAATACCGTAAAAGAAAAAATATGAATGTCGTTCTTAATATTAGAGCTGCTCAATTAAGGGCTCACGATTTGCGACTTCAAGTAGTTCTAACATATGGTAGATCAATGATAAATATATCTTGGTCAATTTAACATCATGTTTTAGTAAAACTCAACTCGGTAATTTTGCCACCTCTAGTTTTAGTAATATAACTTTATTTACGTTTAGCTTTTGTATTTATAGAGGACAGGAAATTAAACATTGATTATGTGCCTAGATTGACCATCCTCCTTCACGTTTCATCTTCAATTTAATTTTTCTTTGACTACCACAGTGTTGCTGTGCTTAGCACGTTTCACGTTTCATCTTGGTTATTTTGCCAAATTTGCCCTTGCCCCTGTCCTACTATCATTTTAACAGTGTCCCAAAGCTTGACATGCATCTTGTGTAGTATAGAAAGGCTGTTTGGCTCACATTTTATGTGAACCACCTCTTAAGCTGCAAAGATTAAATTGGAAGATATAAAATATACGAAGTTCAAAGTCTATGAAAATAAATTACGACATATAATGGATACTGACCTTCACTTGGAGGATAGGTAGACAAGGAGTTTTTATAGGATTGATGTAAGATTCATATTTGTTGAATCTTGATGACGGTATATCAATTTTTTTGTAAGAACGTATCTTGTAAATTTGATTTTGCAAAATCTCTACCACAAAAACATTTAATATTTTATTTTTCACACATTACTTTATGACATGATAACCAAAAAATATTTTATTTTTGATTCTTTGCTAAATTGCTCATTGTAGGTGTTTTTTTTAAGATATGAAATTTTATGATGAACCCCTTCAACAAACCAACAAAAATCTTATTAGATATAGAAATTTACATTAGAGATGAATACACCAACCATCTCATAAACACTTTGATTTTTTCACCTTTTTATTGGATAATTTAATAAATTTACTTGTCAAATATAGAACATCACGATATCTAAAATCCTAATGCCAGAAAAACAACATTCCTGAACAATATAATGAAGATACAAAGGATTTGAAAGCTAAAAGTAATCCACTTGATTCTCAAATGGTGAAACAACATTCTCTTAGGTAATCCCCAAGGAATGGAAAACAACATTCCTGAACTGGTAAGCATATTATTTGGAATGCAAGCACCTATTCCAATTTTACTCCCACCCATTTCCACCACAAGTCGGTTTTGAAGCTAAAAGTAATCCACTTGATTCTCAAATGGTGAAATTGGACTCTTTCTTCAAACATATGTGACAAAAGTGTTACGCAAAACAATAGAATGAAGATACAAAGGATTTGAAAGGGAACACCTATGCTAACTTTTAAGAATAACATGTAACACCTCCTCAATAAAAACAAGGAATATAAAAACTCATGAGTATAAATCTCCTCAATAAAAACAAGGAATATAAAAACTCATGAGTATAAATCTCCTTATTCCTGGATAAAGCCCTAAGTACATCAATCTCAGTATGTTATAACAATTATGCATTTGATTTCAAAAATCTAATACTTTCAATCAAAAAAGAAAGGAGCATCAATTTCCAGATTCTAGATCTAAACAAATTCAAATCAATGAAGAAGAAGAATAATTAAACCTCAAAAGTATAACTCTTATAAGGACTAATAAAAGTCTAGAAGACCAAGAATGTAATCCTCAGAAAAGCAAAAAAATAAGACACGGGCTTTGTTAAAGGGCACGAAATAGAGTCTCATGAATAAGGCGGTCACAAAGGAAGCATTTTTAGAATGATTACTCCTTTCCCTGCTTTTTATACAGATTTAACAAAGGTTTTTGCTAAAATTTTTACACCCCAATATTATATTTTATCTTTCAGGATTTTGTCCAAATTATTAATAGGGGCAAAATGCATTCATGATGTGAATTTTGAAATTTCATCAAAAGGTAACATAACCCAAATCTTCAAGAATTGTATGTAAATTTATCCTTGAACATCTAAATAATCTAACATTGAGGGGTACCGTTTATGCTCAACATAGGAACGTGTAGTTACATGCAGATGTCGTGTGATTAATGATACCAGTCTCAAATTAATTCTATTATATGAAACAAAATCTTGTAAAACCCATAAACGTTTGGCCACATACCTCTATATTACCATCGATCATTGGAAATACTTTAATGGGTAATTTTGTTCTATTGTTAGTACCCAATACATAATTTTCATCAGAGAATATTAATGATTCTGTAACAATAATTAAGTGTGAACATACGGGAAAAACATACAATTGAAGTAAAAGAATAAAAAAGCTATGCCTAACCTGCGTTGAAGGATCATGAAACATCAATACATCCTCAGTAGATAGAGATCAATGGAGACATGTTTGGATGTGAATTTGGGTGTTTTGTGGATTATGTGGTTGACGTTTTATGTTCAGGAAATCGGGATAGTCATCAATCATCAAGCGAAAGAGATGAACTGTGGAATTGTATGTTGGAAAAATTAGGGTTTTTAGTGTGAATAATGTCATCGGTGTTCTTGGGGAGGAATTCAGAGTTGTTCTTAAAGGGGATGGCGAGGTTAAAAACACAATTGTTGTGGTACGTTACGTCTTTACGAATGTACGATTACGTGGCGTGAAATAAAACCTGTAGATTTGATTTTAAAGGAAGGAGAAAAACAACGTTTTTATATATAATAATGATATATATATATATATATATATATATATATATATATATATATATATATATATATATATATATATATATATATATATATATATATATATATATATATATATATATCATCGGTGCCCTTTTCATTTTCACGCCTCTTTTGGCTAGGGTTTTATATCATCGGCTTTCGCTCAAAGCTTCAACCACGACTTCCTCCCTCAACCTCCTGCTGTCACCCTCGTCGTCCGTCAGTTCCGTGTCGCCGTCCGCCATTGTCGTCGCCTCCGTCACTCCGCAATGTCGTGACGATTCCCTCCATTTGATTTCAGCATAGTTTAAGGTTCGAACGTGGTCTTTTCGATTTTCCTTTGACATTCAGCAGTGTGTGGTTAGCTTCATTCCCCCTTTCATCTCTCTCGCTCAAACACACAAAACTATGTTAATTAGCACAGCTGTTAATTATGTTGCATCTACTTGTTTTTTTGTTTTCAAAGTTTGATTTATGTTTGATAGTTTAGAAGAGATGTTATTGCCATATCCAGTTACGCATATCACTACAAGCTATTTCATTAATTTAACATACAGTTCATCTGGCAATCAATTTTAACAAAAGGAACTTTTGGCTCATGCATCCATATTTAACATACAGTGTCATGGATCTACGAGTGTTTATCTGTTGGATTTACCATTATTTATTAGTTGATTCTTGACTTTCCGTTGACTTCATTTTGACCGAAAATTCCTGATGCTATTGGTTATGTTACATCTACTTGTTTTGTGGTTTTCAAAGTTTGCATCTACCCTGTCTCTGTCTCTATCTCTGTGTGTGTGTGTGTGTGTGTGTTTTGTGTTGTGACTAATTTAAGTGCAAAATGCAGGACGAAGAAGTTTGGGTCATCATGGCATCGAAACCGAAATACATTCCTGGCCTCATTCTCAAAGAAAAGATGCCAAAAGGATTTGAAACTCATGTTAGACATTTTATCACCAATTCTAAAAGTGGGGGGAATGTATCCATAGATTCTGTTGAAACTCTTGTGGCCAAACTTATAAAGGCTGATGAACATGTATGACAAATTAATTATATTTGTTATTATTTTTTCTTAAGTTTTTTACTTTAACTTTTGTTTGAATAGGTGAAAAAATACCGTGGTAAATTAGGCCATCTGAAGAGGTTGGCGGAAATAGAGGTGGACAGATTGTTTACTGAGCTATGTGAAAAGGATTTCGAAGAGGTTGGCGGAAATAGAGGTGGACAGATTGTTTACTAAGCTATGTGAAAAGGATTTCTGCGAAATACTAAGGCATATGTATGTAATTGTTTTTGAAAAATCTAATATATTTTTTTCTAAAATTGTATTTAATGTTTTCTATTTGTTTTTCTCATAATGCTACCATCAAGACGAGATTTAATGCTTAACTTGGACTAACAAACCGTTGAGAACAGCCTATACCTACTCCAAATGATTCTAATTTTTTTAGGAAAACTAGGAAGTAAGTTATATATATATATATATATATATATATATATATATATATATATATATATATATATATATATATATATATATATATATATGACAAAAACAAATGGAAAAAATTAAATACAATTTAAGAAAAAATATATTAGATTTTTTTAAAAAACAATTACATTCATATGCCTTAGTATTTCGCAGGAATCCTTTTCACATAGCTCAGTAAACAATCTGTCCGCCTCTATTTCCACCAACCTCTTCAGATGGCCTAGTTTACCATAGTATTTTTTCACCTATTCAAACAAAAGTTAAAGTAAAAACTTATGAAAAAAATAATAACAAATATAATTAATTTGTCATACATCTTCATCAACATTTATGAGTTTGGCTACAAAAGTTTCAACAGAATCTTTGGATACAATCCCCCCACTTTTAGAATTGGGTCATCATGGCACCGAAACTGAAAATACATTCCTGGCCTCACTCTAAAAAAAAAGACGCTAAAAGGATTTGAAAACCTTAAAGATTGTTACGGGAAAAGGCGGAGAAACCCATGGAGAGCCTGCTATCAGAAAAGCTGTAAGTATTAATATTATTACACTAAGATTTGAGAAGCGTTTTAATTTAATTTCGTGTTTTAAATTGCATTTCAGATAATTAAATTTGCTGAAAATGAGGGTTTTCAGTTGACACCAGAAAGTGGAAATGACGGGGCTTTAATGCTCACCATGAACGAAAAGGTTCAAAATTATGAAGCCTTTAAAGCAAATTGATGGTGATTATAGTGTTAAACCATATATGAAGGAAATTTTTGGTTTTAAAATTTAGCAAAGTTAAACATATTTGTTTCTACTCACTATGTCAAGATTGTATTTTCTTGAGGGTTGGATTAGTTTGCATGTTATTTCTGTTTCACATATATACTCTTAGGCTAAAGGGAGTGGTAAGTTTCCTGATTGATCGTACCCTTTGGTCTTCAGCACTGAAAGGTACTTCTTTAGTGTACTCCTTTCTTTAGTGTACTTGCTTCTGACATAATATTTGCCTATACATAGACCAGCCTTTTAAAACCTTGCATGATTTAGAACAAGTGTTTAATCACAACTTTAAGCCTTTAACAATTGATTACTGATACAGATGAAAATGGAGGCATGGTTGACCTTCCATATCCCCATCCCGAGTGTTTAATTTCGTCCTCATCATCATCCCTGATGGATGCGTGGAACCAAATGCACTCTCCTTTAGATTTTGGGTTTTTTGTTCCGGACCATTACCGACCTATCCGTGACATCCTCGATCTCTCAACATAATGAAATCAACTTATGAAAAAAAAAAAAAAAAAGTCTAGTTTAATACATGATCAAAATTAGTGGTCATAATCAGATTGTGTTTACATCGGTCATAAAGTTTAACAAACATTTAAAAAAAATGTGACGATTTGGTACATCGACTGTTGAACGAAGTGACAATTGAGGAACTTTTGGAATTGGAAATATAATTTGCTACATGCACTCTGTCTCTAGTGGTCTAATATAGATCAATTAATGCTTACTGGGCTTAATTCAAATTTAATAAATATATATATATATATATATATATATATATATATATATATATATATATATATATATATATATATATATCCTTATTAATAAATGAAAGTTTTTTTTACCACTTGTCTTCTTCTCATTCATTTGGATACATGATATTTTCTAGATTTTTAAAATTTTCTATTTCTCACTTGTCATTTTATTGTATTTTTCATTTTATTAAATTAAAATTTCATGTTTAATGTGTAAGGTAATATATATGTAAAATATTTATTAGAAAGAGTTTATATATCTAATGTATCAAATACATTAGAGTTTCATTAATTTTAACAATTCAATTTTTTATTTCATTTTTTCTTATAAATTCAAACTTTTCAAATTGTTAAAATTTCATATTTTTTTTAATTAAACCCATGTAATACATGAGTCTCACACCTAATATATATATATATATATATATATATATATATATATATATATATATATATATAACATCATCAAAGCGGGGTGGGTTGGGGATTGGTATCTCCGATTTTAGCATAACGAGGATCCCCGCCCCTATATCCGATACCCGTTTTTGTGGGGAATACCCGTTCCCTATTGGGGCGGGTCAATTGGGTTCCTCATCAGGCCAGGTGAAGTTTCCATGCCTAGTTATTGGTAGATATTCTTTGACATTTTTATTCATTTGTGTTCTTAGACTAATAAGAGTAAGCACCCCGGGAGGTGCTTAGGTGGAACTTTGATTGTGCGGTGTCTACCCTTGTGTGAAAAGCCCTTCTTGCATGTTTCTCTGCTTCTTTCATTACAACGGTCACAAGTAGTTATATTTTTAAATTAGTGTTTTTTAACCATTATTAATAGAATACAATTTATTTTCATTTCATACAACCAATATACTTTTTACTACAATTTTCTACTACTAAAACACTACAATTTCTACTACGAAAATGAATCCAAACAACCTTCTCACCAATTTCACCCTAATATCCCGCCGAAACAAATTGTGTGCAAGTAGTTGAAGAACACCGATAACAAATGTTTTTCCTTTGGATTCGTCGATTTACCGATCACAACATTGATGTCATATATTTTCAACCCCACTCCCACCCAGTGGCTAGTTTATGTTTAAGTATGGTGGGTCACTTGATCCACCTTTTTTTTTTGTATAATAAGTTATATAAAACTAAAAATTGTGACCTATCTAAAAAAATACAAATGAATCACCTTAATATCTTTGGCAATAAAAAAAATATAAATTAGATTTTGAAGTCCATAAATTTTAATAGCCCAATATCTTTTAATGTATTATCCAATTTGCATAGTCAAATACAATTTACAATAAAAAATAAAAAAATTGAATAACAAATCAATCGTTTCACAGCACGTTAACCTTTGATCTTCAATTTTTCATAATCGTCGATTCAATTTGCAACCGCCGATAAATATATTCTACTTTGTTAAAACTAATTAAACTATGTGGAAGTTTTATTTCCGATTCCAATATTCCATAAGCATCAAAAAGTCGACAAAGATCATTATTGTAATTCGTGAATTGAATATTCATAATTTAGTTGTAGGTTTAATTGCATTCAATGTGGGGTTTCATTTCTTTTCTTTTTCTAATTATTGGTTGTTAATATTTATTGGATAAACATCAAAGCCAAAGGCAAAACTATCGAATGTTTGCTAATAATTAGTGAATTTATTTTTCATTTTTTTTATTGTTCCATGAGTTCACACTACCTTTTTTTGTTTTAAAAGTTCAATGTGAATTGATTATTTGATTGTTGTTTATATCAGAAATTAAAATAAGAATGTCTTTAAAAATAATTTAATTTCTTTGATTAAACAATTTGATCCGATCAAAACTTGTAACTTATATATATATATATATATATATATATATATATATATATATATAATAATAATAATAATAATAATAATAATAATAATATCGACTTTATTTAAATAGTAAACCATATGATTTTATGTTCTAGACTCGCCACTGTTTCCACCCAAACAATTTCACTACCACCAAATACCACAATTTTTTTACTTTATTCGACCCCTTAGACCAACCTTATTAAAAAAATGATCATATCTCACCGAATACGTTCAATTATTAGGTAATTTGAAAATAAATAATGCCTATAGAATTCATGGAATACGTTATTGTTGACAGAGGCGTAGCCGAATGGATGCAATGGTGGACCTTGGCCCACCCCAAATAAGTTTGAGGTTATATATATATATATATATATATATATATATATATATATATATATATATATAATATACTAGGTGTGAGATCCATGTATTACATGAGTTTATGTAAAAGAAAAACTAAATACAAAATTCTAAACATTTGAAAAGTTTGAATTTATAAGAAAAGTGAGAAAATATTGAATTATAAAAATTAAATATATTTTTTTTTAAATTTAAACAAATAACTTAGATAAATAAATAAAGAAAATTAACTAATGTTTAATTTAGTAATTTTGAAATTAATAGGAAAGTTCATGAAATTGATATGAATTTATTATTTCATTTAAATTTAAATACTATTTGAAGTTTAATAAAATGAAAAAACCATAAATATATATATGTGGAATAAAAATTAATTTAAAATAATCACAAAATTACGTGTGACAACATAAATGAGAATGTGACATGTGGTAAAAAGATCTTTATTTATTAGGGAGGATTTGTGTTAAATAAAAGGAACTAATGATATGTCATACCCCATTTAAAACTTCAAATTCCTAATGTAATTCATATTTTGTAAATTATTTTACATACTCTAAACAAAAACCATGATAGATTGTCGATATGATTATTAATGTAAAAATTAAATCTCAGATAAATCTAGTTAGAATATAATGGATCAATTCACATAAGTTTGACATTAGATTTTCAAATATAGATCGGAGTTAAGAGATGTGTTTATGTTTGATTATAAAACAATCTAACATGTCAAGTTGGTCTAAACAAGAGCAGTTTAATCATCAAACGAAAACGTTGGTACAAACTTTATTTCCCGCTAATTATAAGGGTTTTTTTTTCTTCAGAAAATATATGTATATATAAATTACCGAAAGATTAACGATAAAACTGTTAAAAAGGTGGGAAAAAAAACATTGGAAATTTGTTGAGGGTTTCTTGAAAATCAAAAAAGAATTTCAAGAATATGCTTTTTTACAAAGTACAGAATCAGAATAACGTAAAATGATTTAATAGTATATTATGTAATATTATGTGTAATCTTAAACAATTACTAGGTTGGATAGTTGGTATTTAGTCGGTGTGTAAAATGATATTCAATAAAAAAAACTAGGAAGAAATGTGTGAACCAATGATTAATGATAATTGGTACTGCATGTAACCCATGAAGATGCCTTCATGGCTATCTCTGTTGAAATATTAATAATAATATATCAATCAAATATTTATAAATGAGGGTTTATTGTGTTACAAGTTGGAATTTGCAGGGTGTTGTGAAAAACTTTTGTGTAGGTTATGCACACGGATCTTTTATTGTCGGATCTTTCTTGTATCCGGGTTGAACCAGAGTATAAAAGTGAAGAGATGCTTCTGGATCGATTAATTCAGTCATTTTTCCAGTCTTTAGATCAGAGTATTAGGGTTTTATGATAACTTGTCTCTCTCGTTAGTTCATACCGTGTTCTTGATCTTTGTTCATTGTAATATGATTGTAATATACAAATAGTGTAAGATGATCAGTATAATAGATTGAGTGTTCATCATTGAGAGTAGAATAGATTGAGTGTTCATCGTTGAGAGTAGAATAGGTTGTTGTAGTGAGGTTTTCGGTTGTAAGTACATGAAAAACCTTCTGTTTCTTTGTCATCAAACGATATAAGAAATGAAGATGTTGGGAATGATTTGGTTGTCGTATTTTATCATGGTATCAGAGCTGTAAGGCTGAGGGGATTTCTCGTCATAGGGATGTCAAAAAGTCCCGTGAGACCCCGTTCCCGTGGGGGCCCCGTCCCGTTTGGGGACTTTTTTTTAAAAAAAATCGGGGGGCGGGGACGGGGGCGGGGGCAAGGTTAACCCCCGTTTTAATTTCGGGGGCGGGGGCGGGGGTAGGCAATCCCGTCCCGAAATCCCCATGGGGACCTCGTTAATAAATTACACATATATTTACATATATTAATTATATAAATATAATAAACTATAACATGATTTTGAGCTTCCAAAATTCATCAAAAAACATGTTTTTAAGCTGTTAGTATAATTTTTAAAATCCCATAATTTTTTTATTTTTAACATATAAAATTTTGTTATAAATAATTATTTGTTACCTAAAAAATAGCTTATTTTAGTCTAAATAACAACTTCTTTTAGCCCAAAAAAAGTAGCCCAAAATCAATTGGGGCGGGGGAACGGGGGCGGGGGCGGGGATAATAAAGGGGATTCGGGGGCGGGGGTAGGAACATTGAACATTCCGAGGGCGGGGGTGGGGGCGGGGGACGGGGAAATTTCGGGGGTAGAGGCGGGAGATGCACTCCCCGCCCCGTTTGCCCCCGTTGACATCCCTATCTTTACCAATTTCTTTGCAAATATCTAAAACTATCTCTGTTGAAAAGCATTCAACAATTTGCTTTTGAGTCCTCGGGCACGTCACTTGATTATTTTGAAGAGCATTTTCTAAGGTAACATTGCGAATGCCTTCATTATGGTCTCTCAAGAAAGATAATAACTCCAAGAAAAGCCCTCTATTAAGAGAGTCACTCGACTTATCATGACCCCGAAATGGTAAACCATTTTTCAATAAAAATTTATAACACCAAATTGAAGCACCAAAATGAAGTTTATAATTACTCTCCTCAATCTTGGTTTGCTTGTTGAAGACTGCACTAATAGATTGTTTTTCTTTCAATAAAATTCACAATTTTCTTTTGCTTTGTGATGAAAACTATCAATACCACCCATATGATCTCTCAATGATTGTCTTTTATTCCAACTATCAAAACCTTGTGAAACAAATGCATCTCTCCCATGTTGTTTTCCCACCATGTCTCCACATACATAGCAAAATAAACAAAATGCTTTGTTCTCTTTTATGCTATATTCTAACCAATCAAAGTCATCAAACCACTTAACAACAAAACGTCTTTCTTTTGAACCTATTTTCTTTGAAGGGAATATATGACCCCTTGGTTGACAAGGTCCTTGAAGCAAATATGCCCTCCTTATTTCATCTCTTTGATTTGGATGGTAAGTTGTAATCTTTGGTCTTACACCCGGGTCTTTTGGAAGATCTTTCAATTCAACATTTGTAATTGGAGTAGTTGTAGGTTGTGAATTTACATTAGAAACGAAGGGAATGATTGATTAGAAGGGCATGGTCTTTTAGAGGATGCTTCAAAACTTAAATCATTGGAGCATGGTCTTTTGAAAGATTCTCTAACACTTGATTTATTAATGCTTGTTCTTCCAAAAAAAGACCCAATTTTATCCTAACAATTCAATATCAAACAAATAAGCCATCCAAGATTCCATGTAATTTCAAGTAATTTAAAGGTTAACAAATAACAACTACTAATTTCAAGTAAACAAGTAATTTCAAGGTTAACAACTACTAATTTCACCTAAACAATAAGAAATTTAAAAAAAAAAAGCAACTAATTTGACTAATTTCATAAACCTAAAATTATTAATACTTACTTGTTTCATTGTATTTGTAGGATTGAAAGGAGTTCCAAGCCAAGCCAAACAAAATCGAATGGTTGAACACTTGAATGGTTGAAATCGATTGAAAGAAGCAAGTCCCAATGTCCGATTTTTTTTCTTCGTCGACAGTCTTCACTTCACAGTTCACAGTGCCAATTTTTTTTTTCCTGTAATCTCGCTCACAAGGCCAGCACTCCAATTTCTTTTCTTCAAAAGCCGATGGACACCTAATAGAGATTGGGTATTGGGCTAATTCTATTGGTTAAAAAATTAAATAAGCAACTTGGGCAGCTGGGCTACAAACTCAAAATGCATTTGGGCTAATTCTAAATTGAGGTATTGGGCTAATTTTCGTTATTTGTTGGACTAGCATTTTTTATAGTTTTATTTTTTGGGCCTCGAATTCTCAAAAGTATAGTATCACCCGAACGAATTTGAAGCCGGTGCACCTAATAGAATATATATATTTTACCCTAACGGACCGAAGCGGAGCAGTGGCTTGGGACCCCCCCAGGCACCACACACATCCGCCACATGATGTGAGGAGAGTTAACGTCTTCAATATGATGGAGTTAGCAAAAAAGAACAACCATAAATTTTTTTGAAACCACATGAACCAACTTTAATGACCTAAAAAGTTTTGGCTAATTTTTTTTTTTTGAAAACCATATTTTTTTTTTTAATTTGTGTTTTATAAAAATCATTTTAGAACTCTCTTGCCAACAAAAAAATATATCTTACAAATCTATTTTATAAAAAATGAATATTATGCTGTCATGGTTTCTTTTTCAAGATGATCATTCATATACTATGTGTGAGACTCGTATATTATACGGGTTGATTTAAAAAATAATTATACTTAACGTATAAAAATGAAATATTTTTAATGTACAACTTTAAAATAAGAAAGAAAAAAAACGTATTTATTACAATTTAATATCATATATATGGTATTTAATACTTTACATATATAAATATACGATTTTAATTAAAAATTAAAACAAACTAAAACTTAACAAATAGATAATATTTATTTCAAAATTACCACAAAATAACAAGTATTAAAATTCATAAAAAATTAACAAGTGTCAAAAATAAAAAGTAAAAAAAAAAAAAAACTTTTATTTTTATTTAGTTATTAAGAAGGATTGTTTAATAATTACTCGGTGATTTATCACTTTAGATAGCAACCATCTGTTCCTATTATGATACGTGTCAGAACTATACGCAGTGGCACAAAATCCCAAACCCACATAGCACTGTATCTCTACGTGTCATCAACCGACGCAATTTGTGCAAATCTATTTAAGGCATATTCCAATCTTCTTCAGTTCAATCTACCATCCAACTAAAAGAAGATCATAAAAACTTTCTCAAGTGAAACAAAATGCAGACAGGCAAGAATACAGGAGCATCCGTCAAGGAGTCGGCGTCGAACATGGCCGCCTCCGCCAAAGCTGGAATGGAAAAGACCAAAGCCACCCTTCAAGAGAAGGTTTCCATTATTGGTTCTTCTGTTAATTTCGCGTATGATTTCTGATGATTACCATTTAGCATCTCATAGTTTGTTTTTGTTTTTTCGGGAATAATAGGGGGAGAAGATGACTGCTCATGACCCGATGCAGAAGGAGATGGCTAGGGAGAAGAAGGAGGAGAGGAAGCACGAAGCTGAGTATGAGAAGGAGGCGGCTCGTGAGCACAACGCTGCACAGAGACAGGCCGGGGGGAACCACCGGTGTTACCGGCCACCACACAGGCACCGGCGGCACCTACCTTTGATGGGTTTGCATGCATATAGGAGGTTGTAGTATGGAATGGATGCATGCTTAATAATATGTTTCTGTTTGGCGTTTTTATCAGTCGTGCTTTGTTTTGTGTTTCTTTTTGTGGTTTGTGAACGTTGTACAGTTTGCATATGATGTACTCGGGAAGTACCCGTCGTTAATAATACCTCGTTTTTTAATTAGTACGTAGTGAGTCGGTTATCTTGCAATATATATAATATACATCCGCTATATATATCGAATATGGTGAGTTTTTAATTATGGAACTAGTGAAACTGGACCATGAAAAAATTGGCATTAAATGAGATGAAGTTCATGTCGATCGCTGTCCAAGTGTCTATGCCCAAACAACTTTATGTCCTATCATTCCAAGATCACCATTTATTTTTTTTATTTTTTTTACTTTTTATTTATTATTATTATTTTTTTTTGTATTTCTATAAATTAGATTAATTTGTTTACTCAGTTGGAGTGAGTATTTTAGAGGGTAAAGCTTAGAATACCACCTTTCTTTATGACGGTACCTGCGGTATGTTTTTAAAACTCAAAATCAAGAATCAAAATAAAAATAAGAAATACTTTTTTTATGATAAATTACGCTGAAATCTAATGGTTTTTAAAACTCAATATCAAGAAAACAAATAAAAATAAGAATATTTTTTATGATAAATTACGACTGAAATCTAATAGGTTTTTATTGGATTGTTTTATATAAAGTGATACATGTGAACCATAATTAAACAATAAAAAAATCAAAATTATTAATAGGGAAAATAAATGGTTATAAAAATAATTAAACAATAAAAAAATCAAAATTATTAATAAATTATTTTAAATAAATTACTAATTAAAAGATATTTTTATTTATTTTTATTAGTTATATAAAATTATAATCGTTGATTCAAATAAATATATAAAAATAATTTTTAATATATATTAGATTTTTTTTATGTGTGAATTAATGAAAACAATAATATAAAATTTAAAATTTAAAATAGAGATAAATACAAAATAACATCACATTAATGAGGTGGTATAATAAATTTAAAATAGAAAAATGACAAGAATATATTAATTAAAAGGTAATATAGTGACACATGGCAAAAGAACTACTATTTTATTAGTATAGGGAGCTAATACATAACTTTCCACAAAGTATCAAAAAGCCCGAATTATCTGAATCCATAAATGTTCGGATTGTCAAAATCCGTGTTCGGATTGTCAGAATCCATAAACGCTTAATTACACTATAAATCCATATTAATTTAATAAAAGCGATTTGAATTTAACCCAACTCTGATAGCCTAAAACCGATTTTGAATGTATATTTTGTTGAATAAATATATAATATTTGATGTAAGATGCTAATAATTCATAAAAAAAACATTACGCACACTATGATAAATAAAATCTTTATATAAGAATTGTTTGAATGATATTTTATTCATTACGATCTATAATAAACATAAAACCAAAAAATAAAACCAAAAGTAATGTGTAATCTTTCTACCTAATAAAAGAGTAGCAAATTTGCCACGTGTCAATCAATTAGTACTTGAAATTAATTATTTGTCACTTGTCAGTCTTTGGTTTTTTCTCATTAATTAAATTTCCACCAATTCACTCCTCCCTTTTACACAGATGAAACATGTCAGCAAAAAATTAATTTGTAATATCTGTTGCCTAATTTATTACAATTAATATTTAATTTATTTTATAATTGTGGTTCCCACGGGTTATAACCTAGTTCTTTATATAATAATGAGAAATTAAAGTACATTCTTTTATGCTTATAATTATTTCTACCCATTAAAATTATGACAAATCATTCAATTTAATTCAATATAATTTTATTTGATATATTCCTAATATAGTCTTAATGAGTTAGTTAAAAAAATATGAAATGATACTTGTCTTAATTTTATTAGATAGAAATATTTATAGGCATAAAATTAGGAAGCAATTTAATTTCTCTATAATAATATGTATTTTTTGGGGTAATAATATCCAAAAACATCTAATGTTAATTATACATCTTTAATAATTTAATAATTAATAATATTTTTTGAGGTGCACAAGTGGATATAATCAAACACTTACGTTTTAATAAAAATACTAGTTGTAAGACTCATGTATTACATGAGTTAATTAAAAAAAATTATTTGAAAACTTTCAATTTATAAGAAAATAAGAAAAATATTGAATTATTATACTAAAAATGTTTTTATCTTTTAAATTTAAACAAATACTAATATAAATAAATAAAATAAACTAATCAACTTTAATTTTGAGAATTTTGAAATTAAAATGTAAGGTCATTAATAAAACAGACATTTATTTATTACTATATTTATTGTAATTATGAAATTAAAATATTATGTGGAATTAATTAAATACAAAAATTCGTAAAATGACATGTAGAAAAAATTAAGGGTTATGTTATAAACCACGTTTAACCCCCTTAGAGTCAATCAAATCAAAATTTTGACATTTTATTTGATATCATTTTTTTTTCTTTTTTTTCTTTTGTTGTTTTTTTTCCTATTTTGTTTTTTTTTTTTGTTTTTTTAATTCTTTTTTAATTTATATTATTATTATTTTATTATTATTATTATTGTTATTATTATTGTTGTTATAAATTTCGTACAAAATTTTAACATTCGGACGACATTATAAATTCGAACGGCTATATAAAACCGATTTTTAAATTTTTATTATATTTTAATATTAATACTATTATTGTTAGTATTATTATAAATTTCGAACAACATTTTATAAACCGTACATTATAAATTCAAACGGCTATATAATATCGTGCTCGTGTAACAGCCCGAAAATCCAGGTAAGCTTTATGGCCCTTCTATTTTGAGAGAGTTGACAATTTAGTCACTTGAAGTTGTATGGTGGATTGGTGAGTACGCTGGGCGTACTAAGGTATACATCGCGCGTACTCACGCGCTTAAATTGAACGCGGACTCGCCCGGGTACGGTGGGGGTACCTAGGGGTTACGTTGGGCGTAGCGAGCCCAAATGCAAACCCTAATTTCTGGCTTTTGCACTATAAAAGAAACATGTAGTCCTTTGCCCTAGCCACCATATCCCCTTGAGTGAGTCCTTAGAGAACTGAGATTCGTGCTTTAGCTTGTGTGTGTGTGTTTTGAGTTTGAAGTTATCTTTTCAAGGTAAAGAAGGAGAAGAAGGAGCCATTGTTGGAGCTAGAAGTTGAAGAACAAGTGTAGATCCGAGTTCTACAGTAGTTGGAGATCCTTTCTGAGGTAAAAAGCTCAAAGCTTTCCTTGTTCTTCATAAGTTTTGCTTTTTGGACCATTTTTAGTGTTTTTGGTTCAAAGTTGGAGACTTTGTGTGCAAATAGTCTCCATGAGCTTAGATCTGACATTTTCTAGTGAATATTGTGTTGAGGATTCATAAAAATCCAGTCTTGGACGTGGATCTTGTGTCATGCATGAGTTATAGTCTCATTATGGAAAGAGAAAAGGTGTTTTGAGCACAAAGTGACCTTTACAGCCATCCAAAGGCTTAAAGGTTTCAACTTTACGGATTAAGTCACATTAGAGGAGTCAGATCTGAAGTTTGGATGCAAGTCTTAACTGATTAAGACCTGAATGAGATGGATAAGGAAACTGGGCATTACGCTTGGCGTAATCCCAGTACACGCGGCGTAAGAGGTTGCATACCCCGATTCTGTGAAGGCTCCGGGTACGCCCAGCGTATACGTTTGGTAAGCGCAGCGTAACCCGGAGGGTTGACTTTTGTTGACTTTTAGGGTTTGGTCAACTTTAGTGTAATTGAGCCAAGTAAGGGGTAAAATGGTCTTTTACCTTCCTGAGAGTGATTAGAGGGAATGGTCTAGCCTAGGGAAATGTGTTGATGTTGAGTGTTATTTCATATGATTAGGCGGAGGCTAGATTTTATCCCACGAAGTCCGAGATTTCTGAGATTTACGAGTTACCGAGCTACACGAGGTGAGTCTTCTCACTATACGTTACCTAGAGTGGTATTATGTGTTGACCAGAGGGTCTTATGTGTTATGTATGAGATTATGCGCTATGTGATATATGTATGTTGTATGATTTTATAGACTGGGTCGGAGGGCCCAACGATACAGACCGGGCTGAAGGGTCCAACGAGCTATGACCGGACCAGAGGGTCCAACGAGCTACGAGACTGGAAGGTCCCGCGGAGATACATCGACCGGAGGGTCATGCTATATCCTCGAGTGGCGTATGTGTGGTATGCAGTATTTTGGGGAACTCACTAAGCATTTATGCTTACAGTTGCTGTGTTATGTGTTTTAGGTACTAGCGAGGACCGTGGAAAGGCGCCAGCATGACCTGTACACACTAGAGGAGGGATTTGATTTTGGGATCTTGGGATATGTTATGTTTTGATAACTATGGTTGAATACTTTTGAGAATATTTTTATATAAATTTGGTTGTTGAAAAATGAAAAAATTTGTTTTGAAAATTACGTTGTTACAAGTTGGTATTAGAGCCTTGGTTTGAGGGACTTGAATGCACCTTTGGGCGTATCTGAACTCAAACCAAGGATTTGAGAAATTTTCAACAATAAAAAAAATAAATTTGCTAAAAGAGCAAGGAGTTTTGAAACAAACAGAGCAGAGCAGTGTGTACGGTCAGCCGGCGCCCGAACGGTGAATCCCCAAAATACCCTTACATTATGTGTTATGAGATATGCTATGTTATGTTATGCATGCTAGAGTAGGCTAGGTATTCATATTAGGACTAGAGTGGCCTGATTTGTGATGCCTTAACCTAGGAGATTTCTACTGCTATGAGACGCCTTGAGAGCGAGTAAGTAGCAGTTAGGAGCTCATGAGAGGTCTATTGGAGGGTAGCCAATGCATAGCGAGAGTAGAGTACTTGCGATCCGAGATCCAAGGAGGAGGACTTGGGTTGAAGGATGATGCGATGTGGTCAGTAGTATAGGGCCTGTACTACTGAAGACACCGGATCAGTAAGCAGCCCAATTAAGAATCCTTTGGGTACTGGAGGACGAGTAGGGTTGCGTTATCAAGTGCGAGTATGCTCGATCGAGTCTCTGATATTTTTATGTTGTATTTCAAAGGCATCATGGTTGGGACACGACACACACCTGAGAGCAGTGGGGTCAGTGACGAGGAGATCC